TACTAGATTTTCTTCCACATTCAAGGAGGCCTAAGAGTAAGGATACTCCCCCACCCCCTCTCCTGCCAAAACAAGTGTCCTCTGGGTAACCCAAATAGGCATTGGGGTTCCCCTTCCGTCACTGGGGATTTCTCTCCTTTTATCCTGCTCTTTATACCTAGTGCTCACTCTTGACCACCATTTCTCCTCTCCTTTGACCCAATTCACCCAGTAGAATAGGATCATGATGATACCCTAATGACCATCCCCTGTCTCCTCCTAGAACTAAAACCCAATTCAGCCTTTTATCCTAGAAAAGGTAGAATACATATAGTCTCTAAAATAGGGATCTGGAGGGACACCTGGCTGACTCAGTTGGTAGAGCCTGCAACTCTTGAGCTCAGGGTCATGAGTTTGAGCCCCATGTTGGGCATTGAGATTATTTAATAAAAAAATAAATAAAAATAATAAACCCCCAGAGATTAGGAAACTACAGCTTGAAACTTGTTTTTGTAAATAAAATTTTATTGGAACATAGCCACATTTGTTACTTTATATATTGTCTCTGACAGTTCTCAGCCACAAGGGTAGAGTTGAGAATTTTGTGACAGAAACAGTAGGGCCCACAAAGTCTAAAATGTTTGCTGTCTAGGACTTTAAGTGGAAAAACTTGCCAATATCTAATCTAAAATATGAATGATTTTCACTTCAGCCCTTTGAGTTCCAAAAGGGCTTCCTTAGTGTGTATATTTAGGCTTTATTTTTTATTCTAAATAACAACTACATTTTAAACCAAGAAAATTGCATGGTTGTAGTATAAGAGGGATTTTGCCTTTTGTGAAAGTGTTTCCAGCCTTAGAAACTTCTGGAAAAACATCAGGGGGACTGTGTTTGCTTTGAAGGATGGGAAGGAAGGAGAGAGGCATCATCAATGGAAAGGGAAGAGAACAGATAATCTATGGGGCTTATGGAAGAAGAAAAGAGTAGAGAGAAGTGTTTAGGGGCCCAGCAGGTTGGACCAGCACAAGATCCTGTGTTCAAAGCTCCCTTTCACATCCTTGGGCTCTTCTCTTCACTGTTCTCTAACTCAGATTTGATTCCTCCCACCTTGGCCCGCATTCATTAGAACCTTCCACCAGACCACAGAAACCCTAGAGATGTCAGAAGGATTCTAGGTCCCACTGTGACTGCCTTCTACTTGGGAGACTTTGGGCAAGTCACTGAGTGCCTCTGCCCCTTAGGGTTCATTCTCCCTAAACTGGGGAGACAGAGGGTGGATGGGGAGGATGTCTTACCTCACCATAGTGAGAATCAAATGTGGTGCTGTAAAAAAACAAAACAAAACAAAAAAAACTTGGAAATGTAAAGTTCTGTGAACATGTTGGTTGTTTGTTCTTTTTAAATAGCTGACTCGCAAATGAAAACTTGTAATCTATCCAGTGTATAAATTAGAGTTAACTGACAATTTGAAAACTAAAGTACCTTATATCCCATTTGTCACATGCATCTTTATTTATTGTTGAAGTATCTAACTTTCATGTAGGTTATAAAAAATTAGAGAAAATAACTGAATTTTTCTCATGATAAAATAATTCTTCAATGAGAAGAAAAAAACCTTCAAAAATCATATTTCATCGTGACCTGTTCTTTTCCATTTGTTTGTGTAGTTTTCATTCTGTGCCTTTGTTTATAGAGAATAATCTTGCAGATGGCATTTTTCCTTGTAATCAGTTATTGTCCTATCTGAGTCATCGCCAGACATGGCATTTCAGTAAATAGTGATTCTACAATCGCTTCCAGGCAGATGTGTTGTGTGATGTCAGGAACACTGACTGATAACCTTTCTGGTTATTCAAGCAGTAGGGAGAAATGGAGAAAGCTTTGTGCAGATACCCAGCTTGAAGTCAGAAAATGGCAAAGGAAGTACAGACTTTGTGTCAAATGATTTTAGCCAAAAAGTGTTTGTGTGGCTATGGGATAGAGCAGTAATCATTTTAAAAGGGAAAAACTCTTGCGTAAATGACCTTTAATATTGGACGATGCATATAATAAGCATCAGGCATGTGAGTTATTAAACATACTTTGACCTCAATGTGCAGACCTTTGCATTACCTTTGCTGCTTCACGCCGCTAGCCAAGGAAATGAAACTCCCCATGCATTGGTTTTGCCACCTGTAAACTGGAGGTTGATTATCTTGTCCCTAACTCTTTCAGAGAGAAGATAGATTTCTGAAAAAAAAGCTCTTCGAGATAAATGGTCAGTTTAAATAATCACTTGAAAAATCAATCAAAATGGTTTGACATGCTAGGTCACAAAAGTAGGTTGAGGTAATTGGTCACTTAATAGCTATTATCTTTATTATCCAATAGATACAACCCAAAAGTTCCTAATGCTTTGGTTTCAGTAGTATTTTTTATTTATAAATCGTTGTTTTTAAAATCTAATAAGTTATACCACAATTATAGATCCCTAGAAGCAATACACTGTAGTGGTATTTAATACAGTTGTCTTTGAGGTGAGCATCTGACTCCCGATTTTGGCTCCAGTCATGATCTCACAGTTGAGGAGATCAAGCTCCACATCAGGCTCTGTGCTGACAGGGTGGAGCCTGCTTGGGATTCTCTCTCTCCCTCTCTGTCTGCCTCCCCAGCTCTGCTCACGTGCTTGGGATCTGTCTCTCAAAATACATAAACTTTTAAAAAAATGTTTAAAAAAATACAGTTGCCTTTTAAGTTTCACAAATATGTGTAGAAGGACCTTAACTATATGCTCAAATACAGCTTTTCACATGCCACCTAATATTTTATCTCAGTTTTATGGACTAGAAACTATAAGGAGAAGTTCACTAATTTATTCAGCTAGTATTTGTTGAATACCTATTATGTGCTAGGTCTTGCCCAATGATAATGTTGCACATAGCTGAGAATGGAGCTTATAAACTGGAATATGCATCGATATGCTTGCATTTTAAACATTTGGTGGGGAGGACAGTTACTTTATCTTAAGTAAATAAAATACCAATTTAATGCTTCACGATGTTAGAATTTGACAGGCTAATTCTTTAAAATTTCAGTGAGGCTCTGATTATCGCCATTGGTATGCTAAACTTTTGTGTTTCATAAAAAAAAAAAAAAAAAACAAAAACAAAAAACAAAACTTAAGCTCAGCCAGGACTTGCATACTTTGTTATCTCCAATCAAGACTTGTGACCTTCCTTATTAACAAATTCTTAACCTTTAATGTTGGCCACATCATCATCTATGAATCTTACAATCTTCCTTGTTGTGGGCATTCCTGAGCTGGCTTAATTTTACAGGAAGAGCAGTTTACAAATTACTAAACCAACCTCTCACTTTGCATTAAATAAGTGGGCTAATTGTTTCTTTCCCTACCATGTTTTAATCACAGATCATTAGATATAGTTAATATATTAAAATAAGTCATTAATAAATTATGCTTATACTTAACCTATGTTTGTGTCTGTCCTATGTCCTTGGAGCCAGCCTATTACCAACTTCATTTTGTAATATAAGCCACCCAGGCATCAGCCTTAGGAATCAAAGTATTAACTGAAGGCTAATTTATGAATTTGTTCATTGTTCTTTCCTTCTGTGAAGATTGTGTGACATTTGGTTAATTATTACATGCAAATATCCATATCTACTTGGAGGCAAATCTACAGACACACAAGTAAACACTTATACATAGTTAACCTTATTAAAAAAAATAATATGGAGGACAGTTCCTATTATAGAGACTTTTAATTTGAAAGTAACTTGCCTTATTTTCCTTAAGTCATAAACTCTCCTCACTTATTTGAAATATGACTTGATTTACAAAATACGAATTCACTTGATTTTTCCAGAGTAAACCTATATCAAAGCAGGATACATCTCTGGATCTCTGGTTTACATTGTTTATATACACATATACACATATACACATATATATAT